GGGGGGGGGGGGGGGGGGGGGTTATAGCCAGGCCCCAGTAGGACCTTTCATTAGGGAGGGGTTCCCCACTCCTCACTGCTCTTAATTAGCCCAGCAAGAAGTTGATAACTCAGTGTTTATCATCCCATTAAGAAAACAGAAGCCTCTCTCATTAGTTCAAGCTCTTCTTAAAAAAACTATTTCCAAGGAAGGAATGGAGGGACATCACCAGCTGAGCTGTTGATTAGCTCCAAAAAGCCCTAAGCAGACACTGTTCTGTCTGCCTTTGTCCTGTCTGCCTTATACAGACACCTCTCAGCATTAGCTAGCATATAACATGCTGGCTACATTGCGTGCTGTGGGAGAAGGGGGCTAGTGGGGCAGGGGACACGGGAAAGCCAGGCAGAAGCTGCTGTGCCTGCCATCTCTGCCAGAGCTCCAGCCAGGGAGCAGAGGGGCGGGGTCAGTCCTGCTCTGGAGCAGAAGGCCCTATCCAGAACTGCAAAGCATCTAGGATGCTGGGGGACTCTTGCTTAAGATTAAACCTGGAAGAGGTCTGGTTCAGAGATTGCTTAAACAGGTTTGACCCAACTTAGTTAAGTCTGATACTACATTCAACCGGGTTTATCTCAAACCAGTTTCAGCCATTTTCAAACTGCTTTATGTGCATGGAACATCTCTTCAGGTACAGATTTAAACCAGTTTCTGATCACTTCAACTGCTTTATGTGTAATGTCTGTCCCTAGCCTTTGAATGTCTGTACCTGGCCTAAGTTTCAAAGGAACCAATTCACTCAGTCCTCCCTGAGTCTCTTTTAATTACAGGAGGGAAAGGGAATAAAATGGGCTTACTGCAGTCTATCTTGAAACAGAAGCAGATTTAAATATCATCTTTATCACCCCACAATACAGTGGCAGCAGTCCATAATCCTGTTTATTCGCTCTAAAAGATAACCTTCTAGAATCTGCCTATGTTTGAGTTAGCTGGTACCTACTATTACAGGATAAAAACATTTTTTATAATTTTCAGGATAACTGTTCTTCCAGATGGGAGCCTACGTATCCTGAATGCTTCCAAATCTGACGAAGGAAGGTACTTGTGCCAAGGGGAGAATGTATTTGGTTCTGCAGAAATTGTAACATCGGTATTTGTTAAAGGTATGGAGAAAACATTCAGATTATTATAATTATTATCATCATTATTAAAAGTGCCATTGTTATTTCTATATTTGTATTTCAGTGGTCCCTGATCACATTGCCCTGGGAACGATATACAGTAATCCCAAATGAAAGCAGTCCCAAAAAACTGACAATCTAAGTATTCCATGATGGATAATAATAAATATAAATCAAATCAGAAATAATAATACAAATCAAAGCTTTCCAAGTAATCAAATAAAGAGGAAAAAAAAATTAGATGTTTGTATAATTTAAATCTGTTAATTGCTGAAAACACTACCTCATTTTGCATGGCCATTATGAATAAGTGTAATACATTAACATTTACTTAACCATTAAAAAAATTAAGAAATAGCTGGATGACAAGCCAATCAGAAAGTATTATTTATTTGTTAGCTGCTTAGGTGCTACTTGTTTCCCAGCCATTTAGTTACTGTGTAGACAAGTATTACTTCCCATTCCCTGGAGAATTTAGAAATGCTGAGTTAGGCACCCAAAAATCATGAGACCGGGTTTTTTGTATTTGCTTTCTTATACATGTATATCTCAGGTCACTTTTCATACTTTTCCTGCAACCACAAACAGTACACATTTTCTTTAATGAAAAGCAAGCTGAGATTTTCATATAATCATTAGCTTCTCAGATCTGGAGCTTTAAAAATTCAAGTTATTTTAGACTATAAAAATTATGATAAAAGAATAAGAATTGGGAATGATGTCTGCATCTAGATGAACGTGGATGTTTGTTTCTCCAGGGACAAGTAGCAGCAACACACCTTGTGCTGCTGCTGCTTGTCCCCAGGGAACTCATGTGCCACATGCGCTCTGGTGTGCAGCAAGTTACCCTGGGTGGGGTAGGGGAGTCTGGGGCCAGCAACTGTGCTGACCCCAGCAGCCTTACTTGGGGTCCTAGGGGCAAGGAATGGTCCTTGGGGTCCTAGGTCCTAGGAATGTAGCTGTGGCAGGAAGTGTGGCTCCAGCAGGCTAGGCTCTAGATTTGGACAGCATGCATTGCCACCACGTGCACCACCTTGCTTTTTTTCGGTGTGGATTTTTTTACTCTGGGTCTGTAGCGCCACATACTGCACATCTGAACTAGTCTGGACATGGGCAATGTGTCTGCACCATGATACAACATCCAACAGTTTCCATGTAGTACTTGTATAAACCAAAGTTACTGCACAGTAGCATTGACAAACAGCTTTTTTATGATGCTGACTGTGCAGTAGCCTTAGACTACTGAGAAGTAGCAATGTGTCACAGTTGTTGCCACGCAACGCTTCTGCACAGCAGGCTCAGGCCAATGCACAGTCAGTGTCTTGTGTAGACATGACCCCTATGTTTTCTTTTCCCTACCTTTGCTCTGTCTCCACTGTGAGCCTAATATACTCATATAACATAGTGTACTATTTATAGGATCATAGGAAAGTAGGGTTGGAAGGGACCTTATGAGGTCATCTAGTCCAGCCCCCTCATTAAGGCAGGATCATTTCAGCCAAATGGCTATCTAATGTGCTATTGAAAATTTCCAGGAATGAAGTTTCCACAGCTTCTCTAGACGGCTGGTTTCAATGCTTGACACCCTTCATAGTCATAGGAAGAAAATTCTTCCTAATCTCTAACCTAAATTTCCTTTGCTGCAGCTTGAGGCCATTGCTCATACTCCTGTCCCATGCACCCAGAGAGAAAAGGCTATCTCCATAGAGACAGATTCAAAGTGACAGGTTAAAAGTGTTTCTTTAGGCACCTAATTTAGGCATAGGCAAAGTTAATATCTAATTCCAAACAACAGTTCAAAGTGGCTTTGTGCCACCAGCCACAAAACTCATTGGGTATCTAAATTTATGAGTGAAAAATCCACATCTATTATGTTTAATCAATTCTAACAAATTCAGCTCAGAACTGGTGGAGCCTCCCAGTTAGAAAAATTCTTGAAGAAGTAGGAGATCTAGGACTTCTGGGTCTCCATCATGCTGAAGCAATTAGAACTTGCATTTTCACTTCTTAGAAGCCTAATTACCAAGCTAAAGGCTAGCTGAAGGCATCTTGCATCCATCCTGTGGTAGTGGCCCCTGAGCAACCAAGAATGCAAACACCATGTGACCTCATTTATATCTTTGGCTACTTTCCAAAGCGATGGCAATATGTACCCTGTGATGTTATGATGAGAATGTTATGGGATAGATAAACTCCCAAAGACTTTTCTAAGGGGTTAACAAACATACTTGTTTGGAGACAGCCTTATCCCTCCATTAGACTTCCCACTGTGCACATAGCATCATCCAAGGATTATCCAGCAGTCCTTTGGGAGCACATTCTTTATCCCAGAATGCACATCAGTTCAGATTTTGATGGATTCTGGATGTGCTGTTAATGGTGAATTAGGATCAGCCATCATACAGGTGTAGATGATCTATTTGGGGATGGTCCTGCTTTGAGCAGGGGGTTGGACTAGATGATCTCCTGCAGCCTCTTCCAACCCTAACGTTATATGATTCTATGATAGATGTAACATGTTTATTTGCTTTGCCATTGCTATGTAGAAGAAATTTGGTAACCAATGACAGTCATTGATTTAAAAATCCCAGGTATGCATGCTGTAGCATTGAGTTACGCATTCATGCAGCTATCATAGGTGTCAGATACCAGCTGGTACAAGTGTTAGATGCCAGAATACTGCGCTACAAGACCAAACAGTAGCACAGTATGCTGCAACCAAGTACACCAGAGCTAATGCTACTGTTTCAATCCAGTTGGGATTGGTACCCCACACTGTTCCTGCTCATTTTCATAGGAGGTTGGTTTTAGATTTGGCCTTTTTGCCCATCTTTTCTAAGGATCTTTTTACAGATCAAAATCCTGTGCAAGGTAAAAACCAGAGTATTTTTGGTCAGGATAATTTTTCCTTTCTGGCCACTGGAAGTGATGTCCAAGGTCTCTGGCCTTTTTGTTGTTCAGGTGGAAGTCTATCATAGGAGTTTTTGAGTGGTTAGAATATAGTTTTCATTAATGCAAGTACTTCCCAAAAATCTAGAGACTGACAAAGAGTAGACGCTGATGTTGCTGAGTATGGTTGCTTGAGCTACAAGGGTAATGCCATTGGCATGCACTTTTTTTTGATACTTTGGCATATCGCTCATGTAAACGCTGAAGGATGCTAGAGCCAGTACAGATCCTTGTGGCAAACCGGTAATGATTATTCTCCTTTTTTCTGTGTAGAATGTTTTGAATGACCTTCAGCTATCTCTGAAGTTTCTTCATTGATGGCACAGAGATCCTAAGTGTCTAACCATGTTATCTTGAACTACTTACCTGGGGGCACACTCTTAAAAGTTAAGTGGGCCAATGCCTAATTCAAGGCTCATATTGAAACACTTGGAATCCTTATTTATATGCTTAGAAGTAAATAAAATATAAAGTACAGCTTAATATAAATCCATTTTCAGAATTAATTAGAAATGGAGCAAATGCTATTTTGATTACAAGACCTTTTTTAATTGTTACTAATTATTCTGAATTTCCAAGAACCTACAAGATTAGAATTGACTCCTAAGAGGACCGAATTAACAGTTGGGGAGAGCATCGTTCTCAACTGCAAAGCCATTCATGACAACACACTGGACGTCTCTTTCTATTGGACCTTGAATGGACAGCCAATTGATTTTGAGAAGGAAGGTGGACACTTTGAAAGCATCAGGGCAGTAAGTGAATGTATTTTTTTTTATCTTTTTGGGTCTAGCAGTTCAGTATTTTTATACCTAAATCTTTTCCATTTATGAGATTCAGACATGATTGAAAGATGAATAATCTCACCAAAGGTAAAAGTAAAATGAAATGATATCTAAAGGAAATACTAAATACACTCCATTTGAATTAATTCACACAGTTTTATTCAGGAAGATAATAACTGAAAAGCTCTGAATCCCAGGGATATTAATAAAGCATCTCGTGATCCCAGTGAGAAACAGAAAGTACTTTGAGCCAAATCATCCTTGCTTTACTTATGCAAGTAATTCCATTTATGTTAGTGGTTCTGATAGTGTAATGTTATTATGAATGCCTCTGTTGCTTTTTCAGATAATGGAAGTTACATAACTTCCCATTTTGGACATACCCAATTTGGACTGCTCTTTACTCATACAACACATGCTGTCATTTTTTAATACAAAGGGATATATTTTCTCTTACAAAATACACTTGTGAAATTTTAGCTATGTAGCTCTCATTGCAGTCAGTAGAAGTAAAAACCCTTGCTCACCTTTTTGACATATTACCCCTCAGATCAGAGTCTGTGTAACAATTAGGTATGGTTAAACAAACTGAGGAACTGTTCTGTACATGTACTATATAAGGAGGCTTGAACCTTCTGATATGAGGCTAGCACTGGAATGGCCAATTGTTCACCCTACTTTCCTGTTAATTAAATGTAAATCAAATGTTCATGCAGTGTTAACATAGCAAAATCAAGCACATGGAGTCAAGAAATGTTTTAAAAGTTAATTGTTCTAATTTGTGTGCAATGTAGCAGAGTTAACTTTGCATTAGAAAACCTGTCCATTACAATCAACTGATCTTGTATAGATTTGTCCTCACACTAGTAATGTTGTATTATTATTATTGGGTGTTTACATTTGTTTTCTTTGGTATTTTCATTTTTGCTTTTTTTTTCCTCGCTTAATGTGAGATTCTTTCATAAAAAGTATATCTGCTGTATGATTGTCTGGGCACACCCATTACACAAAAGCAGATAACATATTAAATAGAAAATGTCCTATTTGATAAATCCCAATTTTCTCATTTTAAATAATCCAAATTTTAAAAATACTGAATGGTTTCTTCACATTTGAATAACTTTTCTTTCTTAATAAGAACTGTAAGACATATGAAATATCTCCAGCCCTTTTTTTAGTTACCCAAACAGAAACATTTCATTTGGAACACAAGACAGTCCAAAATCCTTGTCCTTGCATGACTCAAAAGCAACTGAACTCACACACCTCATACTCTCCAGAAATGTTGCCTTTGGGTTGAGACCAAGCAAAGAAACTTTTAAAGAAATTAGTTGCAGGAAAATTCTGAAAGCAACTGTAAAAGGGAGCTTAGGAAGGCTGGGAAAAACAAACTTTTGCCATTGAATTCTCTACCCATTGAATGTACAATGTCCAGTGCTGTACCAGGTTTGAAATGATTTTCCTAATTATGCATTGCTTCTGGTTGCTTGACTTATCTGGAGTGCAAAATGTCTTCCTTTGCTCCTGTGAGCTAGAGCAGTGGTTTTCAGTAGGGGAACTGTGGCATCCAGGGGTACTATGAGCTCCCTCTGAAGGTGCCATGGCATGGGAGGAGATAAGCACTCACGCTTCCCCATCTGGTCCCTGTACATGGAAGTAAGTTCAGGTTCATCTCTGCCTGGCTCCAGTGCAAGGAGGTAAGCTCACACTTTTCCCTGCCAGACCTATTGTGAGAAGTTAAGTGCTTGCTCCTCCTCACTGCCCTTTCCCCGTGCAAGGAGCTAAGCACAGGCTTGTCAATGCCCAGCTCCACTGCAAGGAAGTAAGCTTATGATTGTCCCTGGCATTGCTCCCCCCCCAGTACAGGAGTTAAATGCTGCAATAAATAAATTCATTATTGAAGTGAGGTGCTGCTCAATTCACAGGAGTTATAGTGGGATGCCAGGAGCCTAAAAAGGTTGAGAACCACTGAGCTAGACTATCCTCTCTGTCGAGGGTAACAAACTCCTTTGGCCCTTTAGGGCCAGTCTGTGGGCTGGATTCGGCCCACAGATTGCCCCCACATGCATGGGGGCATGACTGATCCAGCATGAGCACTGCATGTAGCATGCACCCTGGCCTGACCCTGTGCACTGCATGTGGCACGTGGAGTCAGTCTGGTGTGTGCTCTATGTTTTTCATGGGGCTGGAGGTGGTAAGCGTGTTGCACACAGCACATGGAGCCAGCCTGGGGTATGGGCTGCATAAACCATGTGTTGTTTGATGTAAGTGCAACATGCAGTGCATGCCTCAGATTGGCCATAGGTCTTGCATGCAGCACACGTACCATTTCAAGTCCCAAGCACTGCACACAACATGTGCCAGGCTGGCTATTCACACCACATGTACTGCCTATGCTGCATGCAGTGCACAGGGCCAGTCTGAAACCCACAGACAGCACTGCATGTTGGATCATGGGCTGGATTTAGCCCACAAGCTGTATCATTGACACCCCTGCTCTACATAGGTCAGTCTCAGTCAGAAGAGTCCGGGGGAAGGGTTGGGATGCTACCAACAAGGCTTTGTCTCCTCTCCTTTTCTCCCTCATGACAGGCCCCATTCTTCAAAGGAATTGTGCATGAGGGGGTTTGGCATCAGTAGGAAGAAAATGAGTAAGAAATCTTTAGATTCTGTACAGCAACTGAATGTTCCCGTATCTCCTTTATTTACCAACAGATTATTATAAAACTTAATATTGAGTCAGGGTTTTTTTTCTTATTTAAAAGCCCCTCATACTGCGAGGCCCTAAGCTACAGCTTAAGTACCTTAATCCGAAATCCAGCACTGCCTGGCTAGACAAAGCCCTGGCTGGGATGATCTAGTTGGAGCTGGTCCTGCTTTGAGCAGGGGGTTGAACTAGATGATCTCCTGAGGTCCCGTCCAACCCTAACTTTCTATGATTCTATGATAGTCATATTGCCTCAACTTGTCAGCTGTAGCACAGGTTGAACTAGTAGACCTATATGTATGTGGATAGGCAGTCATTGATGTAACGAGACAGTTGCCACCCTGGAAAAAAGGATCTTTTCTCCAAGGATACACAGAGCTGGGAACTCAGGGACGCTCCAAGCCACTCGCACTTGAAGTTCTTTGTTGATTTTTTGTTTGAGTTTTTGTTTTTTGGTTTTTTTGGTTGGTTGGTTTTTGGATTTTTATAATTAAGCACCAAACAAAGTTCTTTTCAGTATCCTCTCATGAGAATGTATAGTTACATTCTCATGAGAAATGAGAATGTATCAGGTGGGGACCTGATCCCCTATGTATCAGGTCCCCACCTGATCCCCTATGACCATATCCCCTATGTCAGGGGAAAACCTGACTTGGACAGCTTTAAGTACTTGGCACTTAAATAAGCAGTCTTATTTATTATAAGCAATCATTGTCTTTCTTTTTTATTTTCTCTTTCCTTATTGCTTTCCTTTTTCCATAATCTATTATGATTCACTGGTGACTGTTGGGAGACTTTTGTGTAACTGTAGAATTTAGTGGCTTTATAGGGTCATGATGCTGTAGCAGACTGATAACAGCAAAATCGTTTGCTTACCTTTCAACAGACATGGACCTAGACATGTATAAAAATGATAAATTTTTAAGTAGCAAAAAAAATAAAATAAAAGAGGAGCAAAAGAAGCAACATAAAAATGGGAGTTTTGAAGAAGGAATGACCTCCAGTGAGAGATTCTCCCTAATTTACCAGATTTCTCCCCCAACCCTTAAATGCAAGCACATTTTCAAATTTTGGATCTTGACAGATAGGAAAGCTGGACTGGACCTAACAGTATGAAGTTAAATGCTGGTGAATACAAGGTGCTACAGCTCCAGAAGAATAATAAAAAACAAAGATACAAAATGGGTGACACCTGGCTGGATGCCAGCATTGTGGAGAAGGATATGGGAGTCTTGGTAGATCAAAGACTCAGTATGAGTCTGCAGTGTGATGTAGCTGCACAAAAGTCGAATGCAGTTTTGGACTGCATCAAATGAAGTGTTAGAAGTAGGAGGTGACAGTGCTTCTTTACTCAGCATGGGAGGTGATAGTGCCTCTTTATTAGGCCTCATCTAGAGTTCTGCATGCAGGTTTGGACTCCACATTTTTAAAAGGAGATGGAGAAGTTAGTGAGGGTCCCGAGGCATGTGACAAAAATGATAAAGGGCTTGGAAGACAAATCCTATGAGGAGAGGTTGATGGAAACAAGCATGTTCAGCTAGTGGAAAAGATGCTTAAGAAGGGACACAATATCTAAAGGGAGGAAAGAAGAGGAAAAACATCCTTTTCTCTCTTTTTGCAGAGAGCAGGACTTGGACCAACGGCTTAAAGTGACATCAAAGTAAGTTTATATTGGATACAAGGAAAAATGTCTTCACTCTTAGAACAGTGAGGCAGTAGAATAAACTGCTTAGGGAAGCTGTGGCATCTCTGTCGCTGGAGGTGTTCAAGAAGAGGTTGAACAAGACTTGTTCAGGGAAAACCAAGAAGTAGCTATACCTGTGTTCCACTATAGGGATTTATCATGCTTCTGGGCTTTTCTGGTTGCAGCATGGGGCTGGGAGGGAATTATTTTACTTTCCTGTTACAACATGTGTTGGGGAGGGGCGGTGGGAAGAGACCTCCTCAGAGGCATTGGATGTTAGCTGCAGCCAAAGCTGGGGATTTTGACTGGGATGTGCCAGTACTCCTGCTGGGATTTACAGCTGGAGGTTCTGGGCTAGAAGGTCTTGCCTCACCACTCAGGGTGAGACTGATCACCATAGCTGGGATCAGGAAAGAATTTTACCTTGTGGTCAGATTGATGCAGACTATGGGAGCTTTTTGCTTTCCTCTGTAGCAGGGAGCTTGGCCATTTTCTTAAGTTCTCTCAAGCATATTTTAACAACCTTCACGTCAGCAGCACCTTGGTCACTATTTCCCCCTTGCTTTTGCTGTGGTTGTG